AGAACCCTGGGGCTTCTCAGAGCAGACTTGGGGAACCGCTGTTCTAGAAGGGGCCTAGGAACCCCCGTCTTATAGCTGGAGAAACTGAGTCCCAGGCAGAGGACCAGGACTCCCAACTCTTTCTGGGTCTGTTCAGCCAGGGGGGGTCCCTAAAGGAGGGCTGTTCCTCCCGCCCTGCGCTGGTCCCAGAATAGCCAGCACTGAGCCGGCAGGTTTGCCTGGGGCCTGGGGAGGAAGTGTGGCTGGGCGGCCCAGGGGAACAGGGGAGATAAGCCGCTTGGGCTTGGACCTCGGACAGAAGGGCGGCTACCTGATGTAACCCTCACAGCGCCAGCCTGAGAAACGCGATAGCACCGGCCCAGCCCCCACACGCCGGGGAGGAACCCTGTTCCCAGAAGTCTGTCCCTGGACACTGCCGTCAACCGCGGAGTTCATTTCCTGGTTAAACAAACATCTATATTAAACGGCCGGGCTGGGCAACGCCCAGGAGCAGCTTCTGAGGAGAGCCCCAGGCACATGGCCTGCCAGGCCTTCTCCTCTGGCTGGCGAAGGCACATCCATCATCGGCGGAGTCACTAGAGCGGGATGCCTGCCCGTCTGGCTGGAGGGCCTGAGAGGGACGTGCAGAGTGGCCCGTGCACAGAAGTCCCTCCCGACAGCTTCAAGATTGTGACAGGGGTAATGAGGACAACTCCAGAAGTTCGGAGGGGTGGGGCGGGGACACTCCATCCATCGTCCCATCATCTGGTCCTTGCAATGGGGGAACACTGACCCCATCTTTCCGATGAGAAGACAGGCGTCAGCGGAGGGCTTGCGCTCGGTCACATAGGTGCTTGTGGCCTGGCTGGGGTGTGGATCCGGGCGTCCTCGCTTCTGGCACCGCTCCCGTTGCTGTGCGCCGTGGTGGGTGCTGCTCTGCGGGCCGGGAATCAGAAAGGGCTGTGGCGCCCTGGAGTGCTGGACTCCTGCTGCCTCCTTCACAGTGAGGGTGAAGAGTAGTAGGTGTCTCCCAGCTTGAAAGCCCACCTCCTCCAATGAGCAGAGACACGATTTACTGAGCACTTGCCGAGTGCCAGGCACGCTGCCAAGTGCTTCAAGGTTGGAGCTGACTACCTGGCTTCGAATCTTGGCTCTGCCACTTACTAGCAGTGACTCTGGGCAAAGGGTAGGACTTACTTGTTGCTCAGTTTCCTCGTCTCTAAAATGGAGATCATAATAATAGCATCTACCTCCTAGGTTGCTGGGAAGATTCAGTGAGATAATACATGTGAAAATCCTAGAGCCATACTTAGCACAAACTAAGTGTTCAAGAAATGCTAGCTCGTATGTTATTAGGTAGGTATTATTATCATCATCATCATCATCATCCATGTTTTACAGAGGGAGCTCAGAAGAGAAATAACTTGTCCAAGGGCATAAGCGTAGGAAGGGGTGGAGCCCAGGACTTGAACCCAGGCCTTCCGACCCCAGAGCACAGGTCTCAGCATCAAGCTGGATGACAAACGAGAGTTGACTCACAGGCCCCTGGAAGATTGGACATCATCTTGATTCTTGTCTTCATCGTACAGGGCCAATCTCCTGACCCCAGTCCTTTCTCTACAAAGTAATTCTCTTTATGGGAGCTTGACCACAGGGTTTTCTTAACTGTTGAGGCCTGTCCTGGCAGAATACGTTTCCGTTGTGAGGGTTTTGTTTACGAAGGCTTTTTGCGTGTGGGACTCTGCAGGAGCCCCTGCTTGGGAAGTGAGCTGCCCTTCCCTGCAGAGCCCCACGCTAGCCCTGTGGATGCACAAGGCAGACCGGGAGTCATGATGCGGTACCCGTGGGAGGGCGGGAGGCCAGGTGAGGCTGGAGGCCTCTGCAGGCCTCACAAGTTTCCCTCCTGCTCTGTGGATGGTGTAACAGCATCACCCACCACAGAGGCGGCAGTGAGAGGCAGGAGGAAGACTGACCGTAGGCCCAAGTTTTGCTGAATTTGGGTGGCCTTGGAGAGAGTGAAATCTCCAAAACACTGTGCTCTGAGCCAAGAAGCTATTAGGGACACACCAGCTAGGGAAGGGAACTCGTTTATTGAGTGCTGGGCACTGTATCTCAATTCCATCCGTTTATTCAAACGTTTCTTGAACATCTCCCGTGTACAAGGGTAACATTAGGTAGTGTGACTGCTATAAAGAAAAGTACAGCAAGAAACAGGGTTTGAGCAGAGGTTCTCACCCGAGGTGAGCTCTTGCCCCCCAGGGGACATTTGGCAATGTCTGGAGACACATTCAGTTGTCACAACTTGGAGTGGGGCTACAGCTGTCATCCAGCAGGTAGAGGCCGTAGATGCTGTTAACAGTCCTGCAGCACGTGGGACAGCCCTTGCAGTGAAAGCTGTGTGGCCCAAAATGTCAGTGGTGCCAAGGCTGAGAACCCCGGAGTAAGACTGACTCTGGGAGTTCTCTGGGTCGAGTGGTCATGGATGGCCACATTGAGGATGTGACTTTTGAGCAGAGACCTGAAAAAGTCAGAAAGTAAGAATGAGAAGAAGGGGCTTCCCTGGTGGCGCAGCGGTTGAGAGTCCGCCTGCCCATGCAGGGGACACGGGTTCGTGCCCCGGTCCGGGAAGATCCCGCATGCTGCGGAGCGGCTGGGCCCGTGAGCCGTGGCCGCTGAGCCTGCGCGTCCGGAGCCTGTGCTCCGCAACGGGAGAGGCCACAGCAGTGAGAGGCCTGCGTACAGCAAAA